CAAATACAATGAAGTCCTTTAGAATATGGCAATATCTCTCAAAGACTCAAGCATTGAGGAAAAACTCAAGCAAGAAATGATTTAGCAATCAAAACAATTGCCTTGCTTGGATATAAGGAGGGGATTGAGTAGAATCTCTTAAGATATTCAAAGGATATGTTTTTCAAAGTGTTCTTAGTGCTCTAATGAAGATAATCACGAAAGTAGGAGGTTTGTAGAAGTTAGGGAGTGGATAGGGATGAAAATCATTCAAAACACTAGCCGTTTGGTAGTTGAAACTGTCGACTTATTCGAATAACTTAAGAACTATTCGAATAGTTTGGATCAATCGCGCGGCTTGAAAAAACAGTTCTTATTCGAATAAATTGTGATTTATTCGAATAAATCAGATTGAAAAACCAAGACTTATTCAACTAGTTCTGGATTTATCCAACTAAGTCAGAAATAGAAGTTCAGGGATTTATTCGAATAGTTTTCAATTTATTCGAACAGTTTGCTGAAAAAAAATGTGTTTTAAAGGTAGGACGATAAGGGAATGAATCTTAGAAATGCCATACTCTTTAACACAAAATCTAAGACCTAAAACACTACCCAACTAAGGAAACAACCTCTTCGTCCTTGTTCCTTCCACCGATGCTCAAGTCCCTTCTTCACGGACGAATATAAACTTCTTGTAGCTTTGATTCTTAGCCTTGATGCACAATATGATGATGATGTTTTGTCACCCTTTTTGTCATTATCAAAACCTAAAAGACAATGGGCAAAGGACATAGCAAAAATATATATTCATAATAGCACATTGTCCAACAAAAACACTTGTTAGTACTATCTTGGGTGTTAGTGATCTAATCGAAGGCTCCGGAAGAGCATGCATCATATTACCCCAGGTACCAAAATAATCATGACACATTATACTCAAGTAAATCTAGAAAGAATTTACTTAGTTTCAAAGATATAAGGCAAAATGGTTACCACCTCAAAACCACATCTCAAAATAATATAAAATACCTACAAATTATTTCCAATGAGGACATTTTAGAAAAGCTTGAAGCTTTAGCCTCTAGATTATATTGTAGCAATATTAATCCTATTAAGTCATATATGGTGAGCAATCAGAAGTTACTAGATAAAGATACATTTACCATATGGCATGACCGACTAGGTCACTTTGGCAGTACAATGATGAGACGCATAATAAAAAATGTGAATGAGCATCCACTCAAAAATTTAAAAATTTTACTGCCACAAGACTTATCATGTGCAACATGCTCTCTGGAAAAATTCATTACTCGGTATATGATTTAACATTCAACGCTTACCATTTCAATATTTAGCACTTACCATTTGTGCCTCAAACGTATGGGCAAGAAAATGCAAGGGAAAGTTCCCCTCTTTCTAAATAGAGTATAGGTAAGTTGTGGCTAGAGTACTCATCTCTGTTTGACACACTAAATTGATTTCACATATGATTAAATCATCAAGGATTTCTCTTAACGTTATCTTGTGTTATCTAGGATTTTATTAGGGCAAAAACTAACATATGAAACCAAATGGGGCAAAATCTGTCTAGAAATCTGTCTGGAAAAATCACAAAAAGTAAAGTGATTTTCAGTGTTAAAAAAGTATTTTTCCTTGTGAGATTAGCCCTTACTTCTCTTATCTAAGAGTTTAATAAATATTATTTGAAAAAGAAGGGTTTTAACTTAAGGAAAATGATAAATTATTTTTTTAGGTGCTACAACACACCTAACAATAACCTTAGAGCGTACTTAGTACAACATCTTTAGAAAAAACAAAATTCAAATTAGTGTTACGTGTTTATTTTTTTCTTTCATGTACTTCATGTTTTTTTATTTAAGTATCTCGAGTACTTTTTTAAATTCATGTGATTTTTGAGTTTTTAAATAAATTGTTCTCTTATATATCTAATTGTTAAAATAAATAAAAAAATAAAAATAATTAGTCCAAAATGGGGAAATAATTTTATAATGAAAAAATAGAATAAACTTGAAAATAAATACGGAGTATTTATTAATTAAATTTATAATTTTATTAAATTACACGAGTAATTTAAATTAATATAAATAAAAAATTATTTATAAAAATAAAAGCATAATGATTGCAGTGATGGTGAAGCATAACAATGGATCTTAGGTCTACAGAAGAATTTATCTAATAAAAAACCTACAGAATGGAAAATATTTTGGCACACTGATTTTGAGTTTATTTCACCATGACCTCATGTGGTTTGATAAATGCGCATTGTTACCCCCTATAGTTTCAAAGCTTATCTTGTTGCCTCTCATGGTTCTAATGTTACTACCCCAATGACCCACTAGAATAAATATTCTTCAAATATTATTGAATAGCTCCACTACCTCTATAGTTTTGGAAATTGACACAAACACTCCTCTTTTGAAATTTTGTTTTTTAATTTCTTTTATAAAATTATTTTTTATAATTTTTTAATATTCAAAATCTTTTGTGTTTGCAATAAAAAGCAATCAAATAACAAAACTTAACGTACACTTCATTTGTCTTAAATTAAACATTTTCATTTTTTGTCCAAAAGATATCTTTATTGGTTCATTTTCATGATAAGAAAATTAATTAAATATTTACTTTTGCTAAAGCTCATTTCTCATTTTTGGTTCATTAATTTTATACTTTTTCTTTTATTTTGATCAAACTTAAAATAAAAGAAAAAAGAATAAAAGAAAATAAAGAAAAAGAAAAGTATATGAAAAAATACTTTTATATAATAAGAAAAATTAAGTCATGAAGGAAATCTTCTACGCATTGGTCCAAAAAATATTATTAATACTACCTCCATTTCAAAGTATTTGTTCACTTTTGATTTTTTTGAGTAAAAAATAGTAAATTTTGACTTCAAATTAAATAAAAATGATATTAGATATTGATATAAAAAGAAATATTTGCACTAAATAGCACTAAAACTGTTTTATTCCCTAAATAGCACTTAATAATGTCCATAATGTCCAGTGATGGCGAATATTTGCTTGAATAATGACTAATGTATAATGACTAAAAGTCTAAAAGTGCTACATTGGGAAGAAAAAGACCTATGGTGCTATTTAGAGAAAGTCATTATGTTTTAGTGCTATTTAAGTAAAATCCTCATATAAAAATTGTTTGTATAGATTTATTATATGAAATATTTTAAAAACATGTTTTTACCTAATTAATATACAATATACGGAGTATATTTTATTTAGTTATGGGTCAAAGGTTGAAAAAGATTGACTAAAAAAAGTCAAAACATTACAAATATTCATGAACAGAGTTAGTATATAGTGGTATTAACCATATATTAAAAGACGTCACTCAGTATTAATTATTTATTTGAAACACAAACAATTTTTTATTTTTTAAAACTTTTTAAAAAATATAGATTTCAATAAACAATTTTTCACACACACATACACATGTACTTTTCTTCTATTTATGAAAAAAGAAAAAATAAAAAAATAAACAAAAAGGATAGGGGGCGTTGTTACCTATTTCTAAACAATAGGAGACAGGGGAGTTATTCACCAAATATTTGAAGAATTTTTTTCATAGTACCATTAGCGTAGCAATATTAAAATCATAAGAGATAACGATTTAAATTTTGAAATCATAGGGATAACGGTATACATTTACTTTTACTAAATGAGAGAATTGTTGATGTAATAAGCTCCACTAATTTTTGCATGGATACGATTAAAGTGAATTTTGGGTCATCTAATATTTCTGTAACAACCTCGCGCGGATCACGTGGGCGCAAGGGCCCCATAGGGTTCAAACGTGCCAAACTCTACCAACAAAACCCCGTGCCTTGCACGTGAAGGGTATACCCCACAAAATCCGCCCTTTAAATTCGCTTGTTTGTTACGGGGTGGGGCCGGGGGAGTCTTTTTCCCTGTAAAGTTTGTAAATTTGGCCGTATGTGCATGTTTGGCATAGGCATTTTAAAATCCATTGGAGAGAATAAAAGACTAATTAATAATGAGATGAGTGATGATATAAACTTCCAATGATAATCACTTACTCCCACTTGGATTCAAATAATTTCGAATATGTACAAAAAGTGAGAGGGGTGATAACGTTGTCGTTTTATTAGTGGTTACTTTTTCTTAGTGTAATACGTTTAAATCAAAAATAAATTTAAATATAATTACATTTAGATCAGATCAGATCATAATTTATTTTAATCAGATCAGAACCAATTAGATCAGTGAAGAGAACATGGCCGAAGAACTTTAGAAGCGGATGATACAATTTAATGAACGTGAGGACACTTGATATACATAATTAATAGCGTGAAATACGATTTCAGATTAAAAAAATACTTGAATATATATATATATATATATATATATATATATATATATATATATATATATATAATTGGATAAGAAATAA